AACATTATCAACAGGAAATACATCAACAGTAAAGAAAACAATGGAAAATAATGACTCAATGATGAACATTGCAATTTTTCATTAAAAAAAAATAAATAAAGAAAAAAAATCTACCAAAAAAGGTAATGTTTAAGAAAATAAAGACTGTTTCTGAAGCAAGGAACCTTAATGAACTTTGCAAATTTTAATAAAAAAAAAACACACTAAATTAATGATAAAATAATTTTGATACAAGAAGCCTTGGATGATCATTGCAAATTTTCATTAAAAATATAGATAAATAAAAATCTAAAAAATAGTCATGTTAAACAAAATTTGTAATGCAAGAAACCTTGATGAACACTGCAAATTTTCATAAGAAAATGAAGGTGAAAAAATCTACAAAAATGGTCATGTTAAAATAATGACTGTTTTTGGTGCAAGATGATGTTTGATGAACAATGCAAAATATTCTGGCATGCAAATAAGAGCAGTATCATTACGCTAATGTGAAGCGGATCCAAACATCTGCCAGTGAACTGGCCTTCATGGCAATAGGTCACAGAAACAGACAGATAATATGGTTGGCGTGTGCATGAAGAGAAAGAGGAGTCTTTAATAAGGAGGATGACATGGCTGGGTCCACACCAAAGACCTCGGCTAAAAGATCATCCCACCGACCTGTCACTCACCTATTCTTCCTCTCTCCCGCTCTCTTTTCTCTCCCAAGGTTTGGCAGACTAATCCCACACAGCGAGCGGAGTCAAGGGGCAAACACAATCTCAGAGCTGAATGAGACGCTCTCTCACACCTGGAGCACTGTGCAGAGAGACAGTCATGCCTCCCCAGCCATCTTCCCTGTTTACCCACACTGCACCAGGGTGTTAATTGCTTTTGGGGGGATTAGTCCTGACTGAGCAGGGCTTAAGCCACAGAGCCTTTGCGCTGTCACACACGTGCTGGGCCCCCAGAGTCCTCCCTGGCTCTGGACCAGCGGCGGGGGAGCTGCACTCTGGATCACCGGTGCTTAAAGTGCAGATGGTTCCTCACAGCTGATTGGATATCGAGTTGAGTTTAGGCTGATTGATAGTAGCTGAGGTAAGCAAAGAAGATCAGCTCATTTAGACCTGGGGATCTCAACGAGGTTGTGCGGATACAGATGAGTGGATAGAGAGAACAAGGAGAACATAGTGAAAGCATGATGAAGAGCCGATGAAAAATATGTGATGTCACGTACTAGAGGAGTCTGCTTCATTGTCTGCCATTGATTAGATTGAGAGAGTCAGAGGAGTGACCCCTCAAGCAGGAATGGACCGTCCCATCCAGGGGTTCGCTTCTCCCAGTGGGTGTTTAAACAGGTTAAAGGAAAACCTGAACTGATTTCATTTACTTTAAAACTAAAGTATAAAACAGAAGTTACAGGCTGTCAAAAAGTAACAATTAATTTGTGACCAATTTATGTTATATTATAATTATGTTTAATTGTAATATAATTAAAGTGTACAGGATATCACTTCTCTCAGTAAGGCTCAATAATTTCTTCATCAACATCAAATCTTTAGTAATCATTAATAATAATTAATATTTGTAAAACGGCCATTAAGTAATTCACTTTGAGATGAGTAAAGAGTACAGTTGCATAATCTATATCTATATTAATAATTGTTACATATTCATTTCAATTATTATAATAACAATAATGCATAATAATTAATTGCAATAATGCATGTGACTGGATGGATGGATGGAACAATAGAATGACAGAATGATAGAGAGAACGATAGAACGATAGAACGATAGATAGATAGATGTTAGAAGGATAGAATGTTAGATTAAATATGACAGACTGACCGACCGACCGAGAGATAGATAGATAGATAGATAGATAAATAGACAGACAGACAGACAGACAGACAGATAGATAGATAGATAGATAGACAGACAGATGGATAGATGGATAGATGTTAGAAGGATAGAATGTTAGATTAAATGACAGACAGACAGAATGACTAACCAACCGACCGATAGATATGACATGGCTGGGTCCACACCAAAGACCTCGGCTAAAAGATCATCCCACCGACCTGTCACTCACCTATTCTTCCTCTCTCCCGCTCTCTTTTCTCTCCCAAGGTTTGGCAGACTAATCCCACACAGCGAGCGGAGTCAAGGGGCAAACACAATCTCAGAGCTGAATGAGACGCTCTCTCACACCTGGAGCACTGTGCAGAGAGACAGTCATGCCTCCCCAGCCATCTTCCCTGTTTACCCACACTGCACCAGGGTGTTAATTGCTTTTGGGGGGATTAGTCCTGAGCAGGGCTTAAGCCACGGAGCCTTTGCGCTGTCACACACGTGCTGGGCCCCCAGAGTCCTCCCTGGCTCTGGACCAGCGGCGGTGGAGCTGCACTCTGGATCACCGGTGCTTAAAGTGCAGATGGTTCCTCACAGCTGATTGGATATCGAGTTGAGTTTAGGCTGATTGATAGTAGCTGAGGTAAGCAAAGAAGATCAGCTCATTTAGACCTGGGGATCTCAACGAGATTGTGCGGATACAGATGAGTGGATAGAGAGAACAAGGAGAACATAGTGAAAGCATGATGAAGAGCCGATGAAAAATATGTGATGTCACGTACTAGAGGAGTCTGCTTCATTGTCTGCCATTGATTAGATTGAGAGAGTCAGAGGAGTGACCCCTCAAGCAGGAATGGACCGTCCCATCCAGGGGTTCGCTTCTCCCAGTGGGTGTTTAAACAGGTTAAAGGAAAACCTGAACTGATTTCATTTACTTTAAAACTAAAGTATAAAACAGAAGTTACAGGCTGTCAAAAAGTAACAATTAATTTGTGACCAATTTATGTTATATTATAATTATGTTTAATTGTAATATAATTAAAGTGTACAGGATATCACTTCTCTCAGTAAGGCTCAATAATTTCTTCATCAACATCAAATCTTTAGTAATCATTAATAATAATTAATATTTGTAAAACGGCCATTAAGTAATTCACTTTGAGATGAGTAAAGAGTACAGTTGCATAATCTATATCTATATGAATAATTGTTACATATTCATTTCAATTATTATAATAACAATAATGCATAATAATTAATTGCAATAATGCATGTGACTGGATGGATGGATGGAACAATAGAATGACAGAATGATAGAGAGAACGATAGAACGATAGAACGATAGATAGATAGATGTTAGAAGGATAGAATGTTAGATTAAATATGACAGACTGACCGACCGACCGAGAGATAGATAGATAGATAGATAGATAAATAGACAGACAGACAGACAGATAGATAGATAGATAGATAGACAGACAGATGGATAGATGGATAGATGTTAGAAGGATAGAATGTTAGATTAAATGACAGACAGACAGAATGACTAACCAACCGACCGATAGATAGTACATACAACAGCATAAACAAAAAGTTAATTTACAAGATGAATTGAATTGTCTAAAGTAAATCTGACGGATTAAACTGTCTTGTTTGCCTTTTTACGTCTTGCATACCTGATAGCCTGACTCATCACTGTTTATTGTAAGAAATATGACAAAGTGATTGATGGATGGACTCTCGAAAAAGGAGTGACAGCTAAAAGTGTGTGGAGATGGCAGCTAAATTGATCTGGAGGAAACAGGAAATTGTCATCCCTTAATCCTGGTGTGTCTTTGAATCTTTGTTATTTTAGTATTATTTATATACTATTGTATAAATATTAATATTTTGAATTAGCTTTCCTTTTTATATATTTTCAGTTTACGCTTAGGTTTTCATTTTAGTTTTATTAATTTTGTCATGTGCTTTTTTCATTTTATTGTTATTTTTTCTATATACTGCAGTTTCAAGTTATTTGTATAGTTCTAGTACTTAAATTTAGTACTTATTAAAAATAGAAATGTTGCCTTGGCAACTAATTGAAATAAGTTTAAGTTTGTCATCTAATATTTATATACATTTTGTCCAGCTTTATTTCAATGACTGAAAACTATTTTAATACAGTAGCTTTAGTTTGTTTATAGTAACAGAATTCTAAGGGATCTCAAAACCATGGTCATTAGGAGCCTTTACAGTCTCTGGACAAAACTTACAAAGCATTTCCCTAATGAGGAACATTGTAATAATCAGAAATTGCTTGTATCGCTAACACTCATTAACCGATAAATTTATGTAATGCGAGCCACTTGTTTATAGAATCCAGGCTCAGATGTGCTGACTCATGTTTGACACTATAAACATTCAATAATTAATAACGAGTCGTTCTTTTTGATATGTCAGTCTAACATGAATGACTGCATGTGAAGTCATGTAACTGCACAGCATGTTAAATAAATCCTCATTATGAGCGGTGCTCCAGTCTGATTGATTAACAGATTGATCTGAGCTCCCCTTGGTGTCTGTACTTGTGCCTGCTCTGCTGGGAGGGCCCGGGTCTGTGGCTCTCTGCCATCTCATTAAAAAGCACCCCTTCGGGTGGTGCTGGGAAGGAAAAGGGATGTTCTCCGTAATGCCAAAACTATCCTCTGAGACCGGAAAAACAAACAGCAACATTTAGAGAATAGTTCGAAGATGGAGCACGCCACTATATCGGCAGTTCATAAGACTCACTGTGACATTATGGGTGTTTGTAATATTAGCACTTAACTGACGGTTAAGACTGCCACTACAGAATATTAAAGTCATACTCATACTCCACACTTCATAAACATGCCATTGACTATAGGTATGGGAAGCATAAGGAATGTAACACATCCCGGTTTGTTTCCTCTTAATGTTTACTGCTCCCTCAACAGTACCATTAATAATTAGTTTAGTATTTTATTTTAATTTCAGCTTGAGAAAGAAACTCAAATCTGAAAAAAAAATGGAACTTCATTACCAAATGTCCATTCATTGGTGCATTCGATTTTCTAAAAAGAATCATACAAATAATTTTCTCAGGAATCAAACTACATTGGTCAGACTATACAGTTTTGATTCACTAAAAAGAACCAAATCATAAGAAGTTGAGGGGGCGCATGCGCAAGTGCTGACCCAGACGCTGGCGTGTTCGAGTTTGTTTGTTTTGTCTTATAGTTGTCTTATATTTTATTTCTGATGCTATTTTACTCTTAGATTTTTAGAGATATGATTTTTACATTTATTTTGGTTTGGATTTGGAGTCTAAAATGCGTCGTCGATCAAGTTATTGCACTGGAAGCCGAAGTGGAGTTGGGAAGTTTGAGAAACAACGGACTAATGAGTAAAATGACTTACAGCCGCGAGGATTTACTAAGTCTTCGGTATAACATGAAAGTTCCGCCGAGTCCTCCTTGTGAGAAAGGAACTATGCTGTGGGAACAAAAATAGGATCGTACGGCTGGTGTCTCATATGAACAAATTACTATAAAAGGTGTAAAGGTAGAGCAAGTTTCACATTTTAAATATTTAGGTACAATCATTGATGACAAACTCTCATTCCAGGAAAATGTCACTCACTTGGGAAATAGGTGGCTGTATATTTCATCATTCGGATCAGATACTTTTTTGTTTGGGATAAAATTCACTTCTCAGTTTCTGAACCTAGTGTTGACAACACAAACAATTTAGGCCTGTTTCACAAATCTTGCTTCCTCAGAACATAAATGAAGCAGCACAATTACAACAGCTGGCTCGCATTGAGCTTTTAAACAGACAGTGTTTCTGCTGCATAACAGAGATGTGGCTCTACACAGAAAATTAAATTACTTCTGGTTTATCACATAAGTTCAGTGCCAAAATGATACTTGCAGCAGGGTACCAAAATGAATATGTGCCACTTACATACCGCAGACAAAAAAGGGGGGTGGATACAGGCCTTATTCTTCCTGTTCCTTTCTACAGAGTTTCTCCTCAACCTTTTCTGTTCAAATTATCCAATTTCCCAGTACTCCCTGTTTCTTTAAGCAAAAAGAGATCTAGAGTATTTGTTTTAGCCATGTGAGAAGTATCATCCTGCTGGAAAAAGCACAGCTGAGCCGATCTCCTGCAGACATTAATTGTAAGAGGAAGTGGATTAGTGAATTAGGGGGTACCAGGGAACTGAGAGGAGATTGGGGAGAGGGGTATAACGGAGAGATCAGATCCGCCCGCCTGCACAGCTCCAGGAGTCCGAGAGGAAGCTGAGCCTTAGACGGGGGATCAGAGTGATGGAGAAAGCAAGAAAAAGACATGCAAGACCACAAGCTGTCAGAATATGTGGAGTAAAAGCTTTGAAGTCCGCAAGACTATCGAGCCTAAGGCCTGTTTCACACATGCCCTGCTTCCTGCATCGCAGAAATGATTTCTGGGTTATCGAATATTTCCTTTAGTAACAGGCAAAAGCTATAAAATGGTTATCAGGAGTGGGCCATACACTACCATTCAAAAGTTTGGGGTTGCTACGATGTTTTTGAAAGTCTCTTAAGTTTACCAAAGCTGCATTTATTTGATCAAAAATACAGGAAAAAAACAGTAACATTGTGAAATATTATTACAATTTAAAATACTTATTTTCTGTTACGTTATATGTAATATATTTTAACATTTATTCCTGTGATGACAAAGCTAAATTTTCAGCATCATTACTCCAGTCTTCAGTGTCACATGATCCTTCAGAAATCATTCTAATATGCTAATCTGGTGCTCAAAAAATATTCTTATTTATTTACAGGGGAGAAGTCAAATAGAGTTTCATTGTACTTGCGCATAATGGCAATAAAGATTACTCTAATAATATATTCTATTCTATTCTATTCTATTCATCAACTTAAGGTCAATTCACACCGCACTGACAAATTCCGATAGACAAGCAACAGATACTTCATCAGGTTTTGTCGGCTCAGTGTGTTACTCCTGGTGTCTGTTGGCGTCTGTTGGAACTCATTTTCACCGATTGAACATGCTGAATCAACACTTGTCGGGTCATGGAATGTCTGAGAAGTGACCATAATCTGGTGATCATCCTCACTGGTCGGAGTCTGTTGGTGCAAGGTGAATTGGCCTTTACTGTTATATTACTGACCCCAAACTTCTGAACAGTAATTTACACAAGGGAAATTTACAACCAAATGACAACTCATTTCACCCCTACAAACTCAGATGTAATCAAATGTCAGCCACCCAGACACCCATTAAATAATAAATAAATATTATTTAAAAAATAAATAAACTGCAACAATAGACCCCTCAAATCATCTAGATTCAGTCAGACTTACAGAACAGAAAGTACATGCAATCATCAAAGAAATAGAAATCTAGATACTTTTCATGTTTAAATCTTTGAAGTCTGTATACATATCAACCTGTATCAGTTATTCGGGATGTCTCGCTCTCATCGCATTTTTCAAATGACTCATAGGGGTGTGTAATTTAGCAGCTTTATGGCTGGGCTAATTGCTGATATATTTTGGTGGGAGTCTATCGAGGAGCGGGTCACGGCCTCCTTCCTCTCCTGATTAGTGCAGGTCAGCGATAATGAGTGAGAGGTTCATAGCAGCTGCCAAGCCCCTCGACTTATCAGTACGCACCTCAGGTCAAACTTTTGATCTCAGCTTTTGGAGTCCAGGGCAGGCTGACCACAGGAGGATGACAGCAGAGGTGGAGGGATGGGAGTTCTAGCCTTTAATTAAGAGCTCTGTGTTTCATAACACACCATATTATGGATAGAAAACTGACTCATTTAAAATGTGAAGCTGAACTGAAATAAGTAGGATTGCATCAAACAAGTCTGATTGAACTCGGCACTGCATCTGACCAAAGATTCGTCTTCTCTCCAACACAAACCAATGTTTTTCCAACACATAAACAGAAGCTACCTTAAAATGTTCATGAAAACATGCTGAAAATTTACTCACCCCATGCAAGATGTAGACGAGTTTGTGGTAAAACTTTACTTTAAAGCATTGATGTAAGTCATTATAAAGGTATTCATAATATATGTTGTAATGTATTATCTTTTCATAAACAACTGTAACCAAAGTTCAAATGCATTATAATATTTGAAGGTTTTAATGCATTATACCTTCTAAAGGTGAAAGAATTAATAGTTTATTATAACTGTGGTTACAATTATTCATAAGACATCAAAAATGCACAAAGGTGCATTACAAGGCATAATTAATGCATTAAACCTATTTTTATAATGCATTATATATAAAGGCTTTAAGCGATGGGTTTGATTCTTTATAGAAGCAGAATTGGAATACCTTCTAAAGGTGAAAGAATTAATAGTTTATTATAACTGTGGTTACAGTTATTCATAAGAATAATCAAAAATGCACAAAGGTGCATTACAAGGCATAATTAATGCATTAAACCTATTTTTATAATGCATTATATATAAAGGCTTTAAGCGATGGGTTTGATTCTTTATAGAAGCAGAATTGGAGAAATTTAGCATTTCATCACCAGTGGATCCTCTGCAGTGAATGGGTGCCGTCAGAATGGATCCACTTATTCCCAATCTTTTCCGATAAAGAAACAAACTTATATACATCACAATATAGTTTTTGATTCACTAAAAAGAACCAAATCATAGGATTTATTGCAAGTCAAGTCTGAGCTCCTCAGCACAAAATAAATCATGTAGCTTTAATCTGCAGTGCACTTTTTGAACTTTAGGGATCACTGTGCGTGTGTGAACACCACTGTTACAGAGCTAGTTAGGTAGCATGAGGCTTGTCACATGACTGCACCACCCTGAACCTGTACTTGGCCAGCCATCCTAACCACCAAACTAGTTTCCCCTATTAAGCAACATCTAACCATAACCTGTTCCGAAGAATTCACATTTGAAAATACTGCACATGGCCTGGAGCTATCAGTCAGTTGGTCATACAAGTACGTGAACTGCAAGTATGCTGCAAACCGTAATGGCCTGGTGAGCATGCCTGGACACCAAGAGAGGTCATATGTTATCTGAGGTGTCAGGTGTACCTTCACCTCCAGATGGGCAAAACGTGTCACATTCAATTCTTAAGCTAGTTTACAACACTTAGGCCCGAGACATACCCTAGCCAAGTATGTGAACAACAATGCTTCTAGCTACACAATTTGAGTTTGCACTGTGAAATGTAAAAGAGAATTCAAAATGTAATGCATAAAGATTTTCAGACCAAATGGCCACTATAGCAGATAATCGTGTACATTCCTTATAATACAGGCATTTTTCTACTGTCATGACACAGCAACATTTTAAAATAAATCTCACAAAGCATACTAATTACAGTTAGTTAAACTGTCAACATGTTCATAGTTACAGTTGCCGATTGAATAACACATCCAGTTTAATGACACATATATTAAACAAATACGCAAATATATTACATTTCCATGCTTGTATAAAGTATTTTTCTGACCTATAGTATATAGAAGCATATTAATGGAAATATCAAGAAGCATGAAGTATATCAGTATTAATTAGATTTTTTTCTTTTTTTACATTTTTCTATTAAAAAAAATAAAACATTTTGGGAAAAATTTTTCAATGTTTACATTTTCTGACAATATATATATATATATATATATATATATCCAGTATATTTCCTTACATCCTTAAAACAAAATAAAATTGTTTTTTTGAGCAAATTGCTCTTATTTTACAGTTTTTCTGAACTGCTAAAACACTAAACCCCAATCTCTGAACCAAATTCTCACTAGCTTAAACCAATTTGGCGAATAAA